GGGGGGGGGGGGGGGGGGGCAGAAGCTAACTCCAGAGTGGGAGCAGGGGAGCCAAAACCAGGCAGCAGGGCGAGTGGGCACGGAGCTGGGGATTAACGAGCAGCAGCAACCACACGGGTCAGAGTGGAAGTGATGGCTTTGGTCTTGGGAGGCGGGGGCCGGTGGGAAAGGACGTCAGAGAGGGGAAAGGGGCCTGGGGAAACAAGGAGGACTGAGACCTAAGAATCCTGTCCGTACAAAAACGTAGGGGGAAAAGCTGGAGACGAAAAGCCGCCTCGGCTCCCCAGTTGAAGAAATTCTCGAAGCAGAGTCGGTGCTCGCCGCCGCGCTGCCTTCTGCCCCGCTCCCTTTTCCTGGTGGTAACTGCTGTGGCGTAGAGGGGAGAGGGAGGAAGACGAGGAGGTGGAGGAAGGCCAAGGAGGAGGAGGGTGAAGATGAGGCGGGGGGTGGGGAGAGAGGGGTGCGGCCTGCACGGTCCCAGCGAAGCCTCCGCTCTCTCGTAGCCGGTCAGCCCCGGGTTTCCCCTAAGCCCAGCCCCGCTAAGCCCCCCCCGCCTGCCTTGCCTCGCTTTTCCCTTAGCCGACTCCACGCACTGCCGCGTCCTCGCAAGAGACCACTGAACGAGTGTCGGGGAAAAAACTCTTCAGAACCAGGCCTGATTGCTTCAGCGAGTCCGACCTTTACGGCTGAGAGAGAGAGACTCTCAGCTTTCGGTGGGTTCCACAGCCAGACGGGCCACCATCTTACATTAGGGTAAGACTCCTCCGGCCTCCTGTGCGCAGGCGCACGCCGGGCAAGCCGGGAGTTGAAGTCCTCACTCCGAGGGCAGCTGGGATCGCCCACCTCACGTGGCTGCTAGACTGCTGTCTTTCTTCGTGTTTTGCTTCCTTCTGCGTCCGCGTGTGCAGCTCCAGTGCCATTTGGTCTGCGGTTTTCGATAGTGCGTCCATTTCCTCGGCGTCTGATGGCATGTGGCATGCTAAAACTCGGGGAGAGCTTTGCCAATTTGTGGGGAGCGGTGAACGTCTCTTCTCCGCCCCGCCTACCATAGAGCTCTGGAGCGGGCGTGGTAGATGGAGGTGCAGGCAGGTGGAGTGGGGTTAGGAAGAGCGCGGGATTTGATCTCCAGTGAGAATTTGTTACCGACTCGGTGTGTGTGTGTGGCCAGGGAGAGCGTTAACTCGATTCTCCTCTTTGCTCACCGCCCTTGATCCCATCTCCACTGTAAAATCTCCAGTGAAGGAATATCCTGAATTGTCCTGTGCAGATTGCACGAGATAACGTGCACTTACAACAACGTGTGTTTCTGAAGGTGTGGATTTGAGAACATTACGCGGACTTTTGTGCACGTTATTGGTACTTCGGCACCGTGCCAGCCCAGCTGTGTGGGAAAAGTTCACAAACTCCGCACATACACATTCCAAAGAACCCAAGAATACAACCCCTACAATCCAAGAGGAATCCTTAGTCACAAAAATCCGCCAGTTTACTGGTCGCTCTGGCTTGCCTCCTAGAACTCTGGTGGGAGTGGCGCTCCAAGCAGTCGTTTTTTGCTTATTGAGTGTATTCTTTACCCATTCATACTGCAAATACCATTGAGTTCCTGTGTGTGCCTGGCACAGTTCTATACTTGGGAACACAGCTGTGAGCAAAACACAAAATTCCTGTCTAGTATGTGTGTTGGGGTGAGAGACAGGGGAGAGGAGGTATTCGATTTAAAAAAAATGTGAATAGTATGTCATAACTGATGGAAAAAAATATTTAAAACCTAAAGGGGAGTAGGGAGAGAGGTTGCAATTTTAAACTTAAGTCTGTGAACCTAAATGCATAACCTCATAATTAAATAAAGAGAGAATAGTGTTTTAAACATTTTTAATGCTTCAGTTTTTTAATACTTTAGTTTTCTGTGTTTCAGTTTTTTCATTCACAAAGCCTAGAGTCAAATGTTTGGTGAAAAATTAAAATAGGTGATAACCTCAAATTTTGTCATAAATTTGAAGTTAATGTATTTTTTGGTATATAATTCTAATCTTTGTTTTAGAATTATTTTTTATTATATTTTATTTATTTATTTATTTTTAAATTTTGACCACAGAGGGACAGAGTGATAGTAAGAGAGAGAAGGAAAGTGATAAAACAAGTTGCCAAATTCGGGACTCGAACCATGGTGGGCCATGTAGGAGTCCAGTACCCTTAATCACCATGCCACCTGCTGGCCCCCTAATCTGTTTTTTAAGAGATTTTTTTGCTATAGGGTGTGCATGCTTGTGAGAGATACAGACAGAGACAGAGAGAAAGTGAAAAATCACCCTCCAGGGGGGGATGGTCACGCTGCAATCCCTTCTCCTTTCTCGAGATCCCTGGCGGGAGTTTTAAGCCACCAGGTCCACGGTTGACTACATGGGAGTCCAGTGACATAGCCACTACACCAACTCTCTGTCTTTCTGGTACGCGCACATGCTCTGTAGCAAAAACCTTTCGAAAACAAAATTCTTAAAAAAAAAAAAAAAAAAAGATTAGAATCGTGGCATGGGGCTATCAGGTGGCATGTTGGTTAAGGCTCTAGACACTACCACATGGCCAACCACAGTTCCAGTTCTGGAACTTGTGGCTTTCTTTTTGCTCTGTCTGGCTGTCTGTCTGTCTGTCTCTCTCTCTGGTCAAATATAAAATGAATGAATAAGTAAAATTAAATAAATTATTATTTAAAAGAGAGAGAGAAAGAGAATCATGGCAGTAAGCTGGAAGGGATCCTAAGCATCACCTAATGCAGTGGCAAGCTTATCTTACCCAGTGTAAATGTATTTTTTAATGCTTGAGAGCATGTGCCCTAGCCAGAGAAAGTCAGAGACACCAAAAGAAAGCACTGTCCCCCACCCGCATTGATCCACTGCATCACGTTCTAGTGGCACGCAGTCATACCACAATCCCTTTTCCTTCATTTCTCCATCCTGTTGGCATTTTGTACACCACACACTCGCACCTGGCTGGGCCAGGATTTGAACAGTTGGCCATATGAGATCCGACTCTTCATGTACAATACTTAACTGCATGCTACAGGGCTGTACCTTAACAGATATTTTTATACTGTTCCCCTGTTCAGCCTAAATGAAGTTCATAGATAATATAAGCTACCTACATACATGACATTTTTTAAGGTCAAAATAGTACCCTATTTCTACTGCAAAAGTACCTAGGAAATAATTTATAATGAAATTATTTGTATTTCAATATATAAATGTCAAACATGACTCTTCGAGAAAATGTAATCAAGTCATTGTTTATAAATAAAATCTCTGTGGATGCGAAACCTACCGATACCATCTAACTCAGGTGTGTTTGGGCCCCCTGTGATGGACAACACTGATCTGTCCTTGGTGCTCACAGTACGTACATTCCTGAAATAGTCACTGATCAAATTAGAACAATCAGACTAAAGCTCTTTGGGGTTCATGTGTAAATGGGTTACATTTTAGGTTCAGATCATTATAAATGGGTTTTTTTTTTGCCTATGGTGGGATATTTAAAAGTCATGAGGAGCTATGTGCTATGATGTGTTCCCATAATCCTAGTTACTTGGGAGACTGAGGCAAGAGAATCATCAGTTTAAGTCTGGCCTGGGCAACATAGCCAGACTCTCTTTAAAAAAAAAAAAAAAGAAGTGGGGAACACAAAGTGGTTTTCTACTATGAGGAAGAATAATAGTCTTATATTTTACAGGAAGTCTTGCTTCTCTGCTCTAAAGACCAGTAGGGCCTCCCAGAGCTTCCAACACTAGGGGGCAGCCAGGCCTATATTAAGAATCGTTTATCTCTAGAGACTGACAGTAAGGAAATGACAGTTCCTAGGTCACCAATTAATTGGCCAATCACTACTCTTATAGGCCAGTGCTCCTTTTACTACACTATATTACTAATATCGTACATATTTATGTATTCCTATGTTTGCATGTATAAGCTCATGTAGACTTATCTATGTAAAACTTAATTCTCATGTAATTATTTTAAAGAATAACTTTATTTTTAACTTTATTTATTTATTTATTTATTTATTTATTTATTTATTTAAATTTGGTCAAAGAGGAACAAAGAGAGAGAGAGAGAAAGTGAGATAGTATGCTGCCAGGTCTGGGACTCAAACCGCAGTCGGCCATGTAACCACCATGCCACCTACTGGCCCTAATTCTCATATAATTTTAAAAGGCAATTAACATTAAATTCCATTCCTGTAGGAGCAGCAGGTGTGGTGGTTGGAGCTCTGGACTCCCACATGTTCAAGTCCCAGACCTGGCAGCTTACTTTCTCACTTTCTCTCCTGCTTCCTCTTTCTCTGTCTCTCTCTCGCAAGCATGACCTATATCAACCTAAAAAATAATAATAATAAGGGAACCAGCAGTTAGCGTAATGGCTATGTCGCTGGACTCCCACGTAGTCGACCGTGGTTTGCGTCCCGGACCCGGTGGCTTAAAACTCACTCCAGGCGCATATGCGTGTGTGCCCAAGATCCCGAGAGGAGAATGGAGGAGAAGGGATTGCGGCATGACCATCCCCTCTGGGGGGTGATTTCTCACTTTCTGTCTCTATGTCTCTCTCTGTCTGTCTGGCGAGCACACGCACCCTATAGTGAAAACCTCTCCAAAAAAAAAAAATAATAATAATAATAAATAAATAAATAAATAAATACATCTTTTTTAAAAATTCCATTCTGGAACCAGCAGGTGGCATGGTGGTTAAGGTGCCGGACACTCCCACGTGGCTGACCATGATTCAAGTCCCGAACCTGGTGACTTGCTTTCTCACTTTCTCTTTCTCTCTCTCTCTCTTTTTGTGTGTGAGTCTCTCTGGTCAAATTAAAATAAATGAATGAATAAATAAAATTATAAAAAATATTCCATTCCTTGTTTGCCTAATATATGGGACCTATCATCTGTTCAGTTTAATTTCGTTTTTATTATTTTTTAATTTGATGTAGGTCTCACTCACCAGAGAGAGACAAAAAGAGAGAAGTGAGAAAGCATGCCCTGGAAGGATAACCACACCTCTATCCCTTCTTCTCCATTCTTCTATCAGGATTTTGGACATACATGCACATGCACCCAGCATATATTTCAAGCTGCCGGGTCCAGGATTCAAACTGCGAAATCACCCATGTGGGATCCAGTCACCCTAACCACCACGCTACCTAGTTGACCCACATGTAATCCATTTTTTAGGAACAAGAAGGAAATTCACAAATATATAAATACATTTCTGTATAATCGCAGAGAAAAAAAATAGTAGCATGTACATTTAATATATTGTTGGTTACCTGGGAGAGTTATAGTTGGAAAGGAACAAAGGGGAAACATAACTTTTTCTTTATAAATTGTGCATTGATTTGTTGTTTCATGTATGAATTAGTTTTATACATTTAAAAACAATCATTTTGCTGTTTGAAGAATAGATTGAAGAAAAGGAAGAATGAAAGGGAAATTATTATTTAAGAGAAATCGTCAGTCATCCAGAAAGTGAATCCAATTGTGGTGGCAGTAAAGATAGAAAAGAAGTGATGAAGTTATTATATATTTTTCTTGAGATTGGAACAGTAGGCCTTGGTGATGGACCAGATATGAAGGAGTTCTTATGAATGACTCTTGATTTCCTGGCTTACATAGCCTCATAGATGG